TGGCTGCAGTAATGGCACGTTGGAAGGAAACAGGACATAGCTTGGTGTATCTGGGTAAGATTTCTAGAGGAGAGGACAGAGAGCATGTTCCAGCATGAACTTAGCCCCTGAGGGACTGTCTGGGTGGCACGAAGCCCAGAACCACCACCCATCCTGGCCCTGTTTTCCATTACCTCAGCCCACACACACTCCCTTCCACACTCCTGCCAGCCATGCTCGAGTTGTTCCTCTCCAAAGGCTCCAACAATTGCTGAGCATGGGAAAAATAAAAGCCCCATACTCATCATAGGTCTTGGGGTCTGAAACACCATTCTGGCAAGCTACTTTGATTTACAGGAGCAAAGAGACAGACTTAAGGTGGCCACAAGCACCTTTCTTGAACACCCCAAGGAATAAAGACAGAGAACAAGACCTCCTGAAGCCAGAAAAGGTTATTTTACTGCAGGACAGTACCCTTCTATTATCACCTCCTCTGAAATCAGCTATCCACAAACACCAGTGATTTGGAGACAAAACAGATCCAGGTGTAGCAGCTGTACCTTGCAGCCAACACTGCTGCAGCAGAGGACAGTGCTGCTGCACACCCTGCATGGTCCTGCACGCCCACGCAGCGCACCACCACCAGCTACCTGCTCATTCTAAGGAACTAAACACTCACGGAAGGAAACAAAGCACAGAAAAAAGGAGCAGAAGGATCCTGCAACAGGAAAGGTAGCAGGGGAGCAGTTCGTGGAGAAAGGAGATGTCCTGGGACAGCCACCTGGAGACTCCTTTTGCCATCCTTTTCCACAGCAGTGAGAAAGCCTATTATTTGCATCCATGCACTTGACTGTGTCTCTCCCATGCTCTCAAATAAGCCATCCTCAAGGACCAGGATTACACAGGCTTGCAACCCTCAACATCGCTATCTGAACACCACAGCTTTGTTGCAATCTTGCCATTACCACCATGGCAAAACCATGTTTCTGCTCTGCAGAAAGTCAAGAACAGTACTTCAATAACCCACATTTGGTATTTGGGATTTTCTCTTCTACAGGTATTTTCACATCTGAGCTTAAACTATGATTGTTTTTCTTTTTAATTCAACCTTTGAGGCTGTTCAAAGAACTGGCAGCTGCATGTGAGTATCCGAGAGGATACGGCTGCACAGCCCAGCAGAGTCATCGGACAGCCAGTCCCAACAGGAGCAAAGTGTTTTGGAGCCGAGGCTGGCGGGAACAGGCCAGGTCTGCTCCTGGGAGGGATGGGGCAGACAGCCCTGCAGCCAGGCGGGGAGCAGGGCAGCAGACAGCCCCACTGACCCCCTTTTGCAGCTAGAGCAGCAAGAACGTAAACCGGCAGCAAACGGAGCGAGCAAGCTAACTGGGGCCAGGTAAAGCTGTCGCTGTGATGCCATGATGCTTAACAGCAGCCTGACACCGATTTGACTTGCATTATACCTTGGCTACAGCACAGGAATGTTTTCCTTTAGAACTGCCCATACAGGCCCCGTCTTCCCCCTGCAACCCCTGTGCCGAGCGTGGCTGCGCCCCACCGGCCTGCTTTGGCCAGCGACCTATAGACAGGCAACACCCTGGTTTTTCTTAAAAGTTCAATATGCAGAGTATTTTATTGGCTGGATAGCCTCTTACTGAAATTACTGTACAATTTTCACTTGTTTCAGCCAAAATTGAGGGCAATTTTGCTTAAATAAGCCTGTGCCATTAGCTCTATTTCACCAGGGAAATTTGCTCTCACTTGTGCATATGACATCATCTATTGACATAACCCCGCTGAAACAGGCATTTCAAAGCCTTATACTCTGCCATTTCACATGCTGCAATTATATTCAAGCTTAAATGAATCTTTGACACTAGACTTGCACTGTGTTTCGCTTTTCTACTATGCGCTTTGCTTGGCTTTGTTTTTCCAAAAAAGAAATACTCGCTTCTGGAGACTTGCACTGCTTTCCATCATGCCCAGAATCTCAACTATAGAAACTGAAGTTTTTTGTAACAAGCAAACCTTGAAAAAAATATTTCTAGCAACAATTTTACAAACCAAATTATACATTCTTCTTCTAGAACTGGGAAAAAAGATGATCCAGCAGAGACCCCGTGCCCAGTTAGCACAACCCAAAGGTTTTTACCATGTCTTGAAGGCAACTGCTGTGGGACCCCAACTGTGCAAGTCCTTCAAGTGGAAATAAAAACAAACCTGTTAAAGCAGGCCTTAATACCCCTTCGTTCTCAAGTAAGATTCTTCTGTGAAAAATAGAAGCCAGTTGCATTAATTCTCACACATAGCAAGGATTAAATCAAAGTTTAATAGTTACCATACAACTGCTTAAATATTTTCTCAAGTATTCGGTCTTCATACCATTACTGCAGTTACTACACAAAGATCGAGCATTCAAGCATTTGAAGCGATACAGCATGTAGACAAGAGCCTTGAGGAAGAGTTCATTGCCAGGCCATGTACCCATGCTTTCCTTCCCCTTCATCTGAAAGAGCCCTCATTCCTTGCCATTTCCACTGGCAGGCAGTCAATCAGAAAGGACGCAAGGAACTGATGGGACTACCTGCCTGTCTGAGCTTTTGGGATTTGCTGGATATTAGCTCCTCATCATTCCCAAGAATTTATCCACCGGCATTGATCTCCCTCAGCGAGCTCTCTCGGCACGCCCTACAGCTTTCAAGCTAATTCTCTTCTCCACAAAACACTCACAGGAGTCATTACACGTGAGACAAACCTCAGAGACCGTAGCCCCTCAGAGGAACAGCCCAGCCAGCAATTCCCAAATCAAAAGTATTACATTTTACAAGTGGAGTCACAAGCCCTACAAACTCTAAAGTTAGAGAGAAACCATAAACCAAAGAGCAATGAAGCAGGTCAGAAATCGAGATGCAGGAAAGGCAGTTTTAAGCAATTACATCATTAGTGGTCACTTCCAGACAAGAATAAAGTCCCACTTACCACTTAAGTCTTCTCACCAATCATCTGCTCAGTAGCTGTAAAGCTCATGGAATTGGAGCAAAGTTGTTTTTAAAGTTGACAACATAAATGAGACTATCTGATATGTATTTGGTAAAGTAGCTAAAATATTTCGCAGTAGTTCCTATGAGAACTTCAAAGCCCTGTTATCTCCCAGGTTCAGTATGCAGACTACCCCCCACCCATAAAAAAAGAAACGATAGTACTTTATTAAAATACTAAATTTTATTTTTTTCCACATACATTTAGTCTCCCCACCATTTCCATTTGTCTGACCACCACCATGCCTTATCAAAACATTCCATACATACTTAAAATGAAGCTGAGGGTGGAGTCCCATCTTTAAAAACTAAACAGGCATTTTGGACAACACATTCTTGGCAAGGTAATCTGGATGACATTTATCAGACACG